CCACCACCACCACCCTTACTGCCTCCACCATACCGCCCCACCACCACCTCTGTCATAACAACCACCACTGTCCCTACTATCATTATCGTCGCCATGATCACTCTTGCCACCACCCTTACCGCCCAACCACCTCCATCCCCACTATTCCCACCATCACTGTCCTATCATCACCCTTACCATCACTTCCCCTACCACCTCATCACCACCCCCATGATATTCACCACTAGCACCACCGCTGCAACCCCACCACAACCACTACCGCCCACCATCACTACCATCGTTCACTTTCACTATAACTGGTATTTAAATTCTTTTATCTCTCTTTTATATTTGTGATTTGATTTTAAATGTAAATACAAATATATTTATTATTGATCATTTTTCTTTTATTATTTTGTGCCTCCAGACACAAATAATAACTATTCATTATATATTGTAACACTTTTATATTTCTTTTTTGTCCGTTATAAAATTATCATACATATAATATCCGATAAATAAGTTTATCCAAACATCGGCCTATATGATTATGATTGGTATTTTTTAGTGCTTTTGTCATTAAGTTAGTTGTCAGAATTTAACTCAATAAATTAGAATAATAAATGAATTTATCCCTTATATCCATTTAACAAGAATTTGATATAGATTGCAAAACATAATAGACTTGTAACTACAAAAGAAGCCATCAGACTATTAAGTGATAGTAAAAATTTGTAATAGACTTGTATCTTAAAATAGTTAGATTGTAACTTTTGATATATATAATACCGTTAAAAAAAACCCATTCTTTTATACACAATTAATCACAACTTTTAAAGTATGATTGTTAATTTAATTTTACGTAGGTAATTCGTAAGGGTGGTTCGGTGGTTGATATTGACTTTGATAACTTAGAAGTTTCAGGTTCAATTCTTTCTTATACCTCCAAATGACTAGCCACCATTATCCTTTTAAAGACATGCTCTAACTCGGCTCAAGTCATAATGACCAACCGTTGTGTTCAAGAAAATAGTCGGTACAAATCTAAATACTTCATAGTAAAAAAAAAATCCCTGTAGGTCTATAAATATAGATTGCTCAAATATAGTTATTAGGAATAATTACATCCAGATCCTCTTAAATTTGTCACTTAATCATCTAAATTCTTTGATATTTTAAATATTACATATAGACCCCTTAAGGTTTGTATGCACATAACACATAGGCTCATGTCGTTAATATCCGTTAGTATATTTATTAATTAATTATAGTCAAACCCTCAAAATTTGAAACGTGTAATATTTACACACTTATAAATTTTAAAGGGTTTTGATGTAATTAATTAATAGATATACTAATATACATTGACGGGAGTCTAATGTTATGTTTGGTAGGAAAAAATGAAAGTAGGGGAATAGAAAGTAGGGGGGATACACTTTCTATCCTCAAGGAAAGAAAATATGATTGATACACTTTTTTTTTTGTGTTTGGTTGAATGGATGGAAAATAAAAATGACTATTTTTTTTTTGTACTGGCTAATATTAGGGGTGACCATCAAGTCATATCATGTCAGATTCGTGTTTAGTCATTACGAATTTGTGTCGAACATTAGTCACACCTAACTCAACTCAT